CGGAGCGGGCGCGCCCGTGTACCTGGCGGCGGTGCTGGAGTACCTGACGGCCGAGATCCTGGAGCTGGCGGGCAACGCGGCCCGCGACAACAAAGAAGACGCGCATCATCCCGCGCCACCTGCAGCTGGCCATCCGCAACGACGAGGAGCTCAACAAGCTGCTGGGCAAGGTGACCATCGCGCAGGGCGGCGTGCTGCCCAACATCCAGGCCGTGCTGCTGCCCAAGAAGACCGAGAGCCACCACAAGGCCAAGGGCAAGTGATTGGACGGGCATCGCAGCTTCCGGAAACGCTTTGAAACCCAAAGGCTCTTTTCAGAGCCCCCATCCACCTCCTAGGAAGAGCTAATGTCACTTTAGGTTAAAGGGGGGAAATGCACAGAAAGGTAAGTTTAGCTTCTCCAGAGTTATGGGGTACAAACATTTCCTTTAAAGAAAAGGCTCGGTGTTGCTAAAAATGGAGCAGCCTGTATAGGAAATGGCAGGCGATATGCTCTCGAAATAAACACGCATTTCAAACAGCCGCAGGACCTGGCTGGGGTCCGGAACCGGTTAACTGCAGCCCTGGGTTGAGGTCTGTAAACTTCAGGTTGCAAATGACTGAGTTTGGGGGAGGCGAACTTTCCCAGCGGGTGTGTGGCCGCCCCGCCCTGTCCCGAGGGCGTTAGTCTCGGCTCCAGTTAAATAACAATAAGCACCATCTTAGAAGCTTCCGAGGGAGGGGAACGGGCCCCTGAGACCGGTTCCCGGGCTGGCGGAGAAGACAGCCTGAATCTAGACCCGAATGGCGTCTTCTCCCCACTGACCATGCTGGGACTGTGGCCAGTTCATAACCCCCGGGACTCGGTTCTCTCACCTGCAAGTCGGGGGGGGGCGGGTAAGTTGATGGCGTCTTTCGCTTCTTGGGTCAGTTAACCATTTAACGCCCCTAACCTGTAGTTTAACAAACTATTTTATACAACTGATACGTGCTGTGCGGGGATTTCAGTTCTAAGGCCCATGTTCCCGGCGCAGCTGGAAAAGGAACACAACGGGGCCTTTTGCTCCCCCCGCAACAGTTCCCAGGGATCCGATCATTTAGCTGCATCAACCCCAAGAAGCGCCGATCTGGACGGAGGGAAAAAACCCTTAGGATTCCCGGGCCGGGGTGGCTCAGTGGTTGAGCGTCGACCTATGAACCAGGGGGTCGTGGTTCAATTCCTGGTCAGGGCACAGGCCCGGCTTGCAAGTTCCATCCCGTGTGGGGCGCGCAGGAGGCAGACGATCAATGATTCTCTCTCATCATTGATGTTTCTATCTCTCCCTCTCCCTTTCTCTCTGGGATCAATAAATATTATTTTTAAAGAGTATTAGGACACTATTTTCCAGGGTTGAAACTCACCAAGGTTTTCTGGTTGGCCCATCCCCCTACACCCCATCCTCCCTCTCTTCCCCCCTCGCCATGCAGCCACCAGCCACAGAAGTGGCAGGAGCTGTGCTAAAGGCAAATTGGCAGGAAAACAAGTGAGCACCTGGATGGCCCCCCGTTGAGCACTTGGAGGGGGGGGGGGAGTGCGGTTCTAAGGGACTGAGCTCATCAAACTGGGCTTTTGCTATAAGGCCCAGGCCCACTGAGACCAGGTTCTGTTCGCCCAGCGCTCCCTGTAGGTTGAACTGGGATCCTTGGTTCGGAATTGCCTCACCTGGGCCTCAGGACCCTTTTCACTCACCGTCCAGGTTGCCTTTGAACCCAGCCCCGACTCTGAACAGGTGTGTGAGCTGGGCCAGGTGCTGGCGCTCTCGCCTCCTCCGCGTCTTGGCTCACCTGTGGCTGGAAGGGTCCGCAGTGTGGGTTCTGAGATCAGGGCAGGGCGCTGGAGAGCCATCGAGGACACTAAGCCCTCCCTGGGTCAGACACATTGGTACCTGCTCCCAGCCTATGAGCTCATTTTCCCAACCCCCTTCGAGGTAAATCCTCTCCTATCCTGATTTCATTTTATTTTAAATATTTTTTTGCATTGATTTCAGAGGGGGGGGGGAACATCGGTGAGAGAGAAATATTGACCGGCTGCCTCTGCATACCCTCTACCAGGGATCAAGCCCACAACCCAGGCCTGTGCCCTGACCGGGAATCAAACGCAGGACCTCTTGGTCCATGGGGCAATGCTCAATTCACTGAGCCACACCAGCTGGGCCCCTGTCCTGATTTTAAAGCTGAGGAAACCAGAAAAGAGCATGAACAACTTCTGTGTCCCACGGTCAGGAAGCCAGTACTTCTAACCCCTGGCTAGTCTATAACTCCTGCCCCTAAGACTTTATTGCCAGAACAAGAAAACTGGTAAAAACTCTACACATAATAATAGGTCAATTTTGCCAACGTACCATAATGTTACAAATGGCATCCTGAACTCCGGCAAGAAGAGAAGGGAAGGAGGCGCGATGTCCCTGGAATCTCCATAGATGGCTGTGTGCGCAGTGCACACCCAGCAAGAAGCCACACGCCTGGTTTAGTGTGTGACAAGGGAAGCAGGGGGACATGGGGGCAATGGCTTGGGAATGGACTTGATGAGTTGCTGTGTTGAGCAGTGAAAGGAGTTAGCGGATACTTGAATTTGAAGTCTCTCCTCCAGGCACCAAAACCAAACTTCCTATTTAGTTACTTAGTTGGGAATAATACGCTGTGTTTATTATGTTTGCAGCAAGACCTTCAAGTCAAGGACCTCATCTAGTTAAAATGTTGATAGCGCACCCTAACTGGTTTGGCTCCGTGGCCAGAGCATCAGCCTGTAGATCATGTTCAACCCCTGGTCAGGGCACAAGCCCGGATTTCGGGCTCGATCCCCAGGGTGGGGCGTGGAGGGGGCAGCCGATCATTGATTCTCTCTCATCAGTGATGCTTCTATCTCTCTCTCCCTCTCTGAAATCAATAGTAATAATAATAAAAAGTTGGTTGATAGCGTAGAGGCCCTGGCATGAAATCGACACTTGAGAAAGTCCGCTGGTGAGCAATAAACTCAGTGGCTTCCCTTGAGCAGGTCTCTACCTTGTCCTCAGGGGAATGGATGAGAGTGAGAAACCCAGGACCTGCAATCTCTGAAGACCGCCAGGTACCAGGGACGAAGTTGATCCAAGGCAAGCATGTCAAACTCACGGCCCACCGGCTGCATGCGGCCCACAAGGAATATTTCTGCAGCCCAGCCAGTATAACGGTGTGCTCAGTTACTCACAATGATGAAAGGAAATAAGTCTCCTGTCAGATCCAGAATCACTGACGCTCACCTGGGGTCAGTTTTGAAAGTAATCACTGTGAACAAGACTTCCCCCGAAGTAGGAAAGAGAGTAGAGAGAAGCGGTGCCAAGTGTCAGGAAGAAAACATGAATTTTATCATTGCTCTTGTGCTTTTTTTTATACTATAATACTTTTCTAAATAAACCTACGAGAATAGGTTAAATAATTAAACCTAAATAATTCTATGAGAATGGAAGCTTTTATTTATTTATTTATTATTTTTTTCTTTGTGGCCCACATACACTTAAGCCTTGTTTATTTGGCCCTTGTTAGCCTTTGAGTTTGACATGCTTGGTCTGCCTAAGGGGTTTACTGATAAGCCAGGCCGAGGCAGAATCATCAGTTGGGTCTCTGGGGTGTCCCAGACACAGCACATCTGCTTGACACCGCATCACTGTGTATTAGACATCTTTTTATTTTTAAAATATATTTCTTTTATTGATTTCAGAGGAAGGGAGAAAGAAATACAAATGATGACAGAGAATCACTAATCAGGCTGCCTCCTGCACACCTCCCTACTGGGGATGGAGCCTAAAACCTGGGCATTGAACCATGACCTCCGGGTTCATAGGTCGATGCTCAAGCGCTGAGCTACACCGGCGGGCTAAACCTCTTTTTATATTTTCAACTCCTGTGCAGCAATATCCTTTTCTTCATCCACCCCTCACTTCCTGTTTTTTAATGTATCATTTGAATTCTTTTTTACAAGTATGGTAAGTTTTATTACAAGTTGCAAACAATCACTTGTATTTTAAGGTTAGAATTAGGTTAACATGTAAGGGTTTTTCATCTGTTGATCCTATTTTAGAATTACAAATGCAAATAACTATTCCTGTCAAGTATCATGTATGAATATTACTGGAAGATGTTAGGAATTCCATGGAGGATCCCTCATGCAGACAGAAATTGACAATAAGGGGTCATATTTAGCTCAGGAATTCTCCCCTCGGTTTTATTCCAAAACCTGAATATTGTACCAGACAGGTTAGCAGCACCAGGAGATCTACCAGAAGACAGCCACCGCCTGCATTGACACCTAGAAGCCGGCACCATTAATAAATAGACAAATCTATGAGGGGGAGGAACAGTATGATCATTGTTACTCCAAAAGAAATTAGAATATACCATGTAGACTTCAACACAAGGTGACTCCAGGCAGGGAATCAAT